AATCTAAGCTCATATATTGGAAGGTATCATTAGTGCTTAGGGCAGTGGTTCTCAAAAAGACTGGTTAAAACATGAACTGCTAGGCTTCACTCCCAAAGGTTCTGATTCAGTAGGTCTGGAATAGGTCCAAGAATCTGTATTTCTAACAAACTGCTAAGGGACACTACTAATCCACAAACCACACAATTAGAACCACCAGTCAGAGTAAGCCTCCAATCCCCAGTGCAGCTGAAACTAGTATTCCAGGCAAAATTCCACAAATATAATGTTCACGGACTAGGTGAAGCTTGCCACAAAACAAGCACAGCTGTATTGTGCAAGTTTGGTTTTTTTGTTTTTGTTTTATTGAGTTTTGTTGTTGGAATTCTAATGTCAAGCACTGGGAGTTAATACCTGGTTAGTTGCCATAGATTCTCTCATCCCCTACCTTGCTCTGGGTTGTTTTGCCATATTTTGTCAGAAGCGACCCGGCCAGATTCATCTCAGGGGACTCCCATGGATTTTCTGCAGCCAATCTGAATTACTCCAACCATGTGCTCTTAATTTACTCATATTGTAAATCACCGTCTTCAGATTAGGAGAGTTAAATTGAAACCAAAACAAAAGAGTATACACAAACGTGCATGCGCACACACCTCTAAAAACGTCCAGGGTCCTTCTGTCACTTTCTTTACTAATCAGGGCCTTCAGAGACCATGAGTTCAATCCTAGGTTGTTATTTTCCATTTCAGAAACTTGGATTGTGACAGTGTTAAATACTGAGCAAATAAAGAGAGATAAGAACCTTATTACATTGAGTATGAGTCATAAACCTGGGTGAAAATACAAGTAGAACTTACAGGAATTAATTTGTATGGAAAGACTTTGTAGGAAATAAAAAGATCCATGGCTTCATCACTTTGATTCCAAGAACCAGGTTTGCTCAGAAGCAGAGGGAGTATCCCAGTATCAAGTGAAAAGCCTCCTGAATTTGTCATGTGAACCAACAATTATTGTTAGGGCTTTGAAAGAAAAATCTCAGAAAGGAAACTCATTGGAGAGTGAAATCAGCTTAAAGTCCAGTTTTTAATTATGTAGTAAGTGTAGGATTTCTGAGAAAGGTAAGAAAAGAATGCAAAAACAGTGTAGCAGTTTTATACCTTCACATGGTAGAAAAGAAACTAATCTCAGAAGCAGGACAAGTTTAACAAACTCAGCTGGACCAGAAAAAGTAGGGACATACTGGAGAAAACTGTAAGGGGTCATCAGACAGCACAATCTCTTCTCCCATGGAACTCTTTAGGACAACCCCTAGTGGCTTTCCTCTGGCCCAGAGATGGCTGACAGGTGTTGAGATCCTCTCTTCCCCAGGCATAGTGCCAAGGATCTGGAAACTTTCCTCCTGTTCTTCTTGATGACCAACAATCTCTGATCATGCTCTTTTTACATGTTAGACTCAGCTTTGGAATGGAATTATGTAGAGTAATGTTTGGATTGCTCATTTCAGTGATCACACCTTAGCAAAAGTCCTCATCTATTCACTGTGGACACACATGTATGCACACACACACGGTTCAAACAAGCACACTGACATTTCACATTGCAGTTCAGAGACTGGGGGCAATTTCTAAACGAATATTAGTCCCTTCGCTTTGTCTTATATTCTTACATGATGTTTTATTCAGAGGCCTTGTAAGCATAAATGGTTAATCAAGAACAAGATTTAGGTATTGGAATATCTATTGTCTTTGCATTTTAAAATTCCATAATTCATTTTGCTTAGATTTCTTAGGAAACCTTATAGTTTTGATTTCCTGAGATTTTGTCTTTGGAAGGATTAAAATAAAAAATTGTCATTTGGTCAAATCAGGAAGTTTTATTCTTATATTTATTCTCTATCACTCACCTGATTCCATCACTTATCTGCTAAAGCCTGGTGCTATTTTTTTATCCCATTAAGAAAAATGCCAGACCTTTTTCTTCCATTTACCAGAACTCAAAGATAAATCTCTTCCTACTCCTCAGCACATACAAATACAGAATGCCCTAGAAGGAACATACCTCAAAATAATAGGAGCCATCTGGGACAAACTGCAGCCAACATCAAGCAAAATCTGTAAGCATTTCCCTTCAGAACTGGGACAAGACAAGGATACCCACTCTCACCACTCCTAGTCAATGTAGTACTGGAAGTTCTCGCCAGAGCAATTAGGCAAGAGAAAGAAATAAAAGGCATTTCATTAGGAAAAAAAAGTGAAACTATCTCTGCAGAAAATATGATTCTATGCCCAGAAAACACTAAATATATCACCAAAAGACTCTCAGAACTGATAGATGACTCCAGTAAAGTTTTGGAATAGAAAAAATCAATGTTAAAAAAAGTAGCATTTATATACACCACTAACATTCAAACTGAGAGCCAAATCAAGAATGCAATCCCATTTACAATAGCCACAAAAGAATAAAATACCTAGGAATACATCGGAGGAGTAAGAGCTTCACAAAACTACATAACACTGCAGAAAGAAGTTAGAGATGACACAAACGAACTTAAAAATATTCCAGGCACATGGATTGAAAGAATTAATATTATCAAAATGGCCATAGTGCCCAAAGCAATTTACAGAACCAATGTTGTTCTTATCAAAATACCAATATCATTTCATCATTTTTCACAAAATTAGAACAAAACTATTTGAAAATTCATATAGAACCAAAAGAGAGCCCAAATTGTCAAAGAAATTTTTTTTTGAGATGGAGTCTTGCTCTGTTACCCAGGCTGGAGTGCAGTGGCTTTATCTTGGCTGACTGCAACCTCCACCTCCCAGGTTCAAACAATTCTCATGCCTCAGCCTCCCAAGTAGCTGGGATTACAGACACACACCACCACGCCTGGCTAATTTTTGTATTTTTAGTAGAGACAGGGTTTCACCACGTTGGCCAGGCTGGTCTGGAACTCATGACCTCAGGTGATCCACCCAACTTGGCCTCCCAAATTGCAGGGATTACAGGCCTGAGCCATCGCACTCAGCCCCAAAGCAATATTAAGCAAAAGAACAAGACAGAAGAATCACCTTAACCAACTTCAAACTATACTACAATGCTACAGTAACCATAACAGTATGGTACTGGTATAAAAACAAACATATAGACCAATAGAACAGAATAGAGAATCCAGAAGAAATGACATACAACTACAACCATATGATCTTTAACAAAGTCAACAAAAATAAGGGATGAGAAAAGGACTCCCTATTCAATAAATGATGCTGGGATAGCTGGTGAGCCATAGGCAGAAGAATGAAACTGGACTTCTACCTTTTACCATACACAAAAATTAACCCAAATTTAAGATTTAAATATAAGTTCTCAAACTGTGAAAATTTCAGAATTTTCACAGTTTGAGAACTTATATTTATTATGAGCCAGGTGTGGTGGCTCATACCTGTAAGCCCAGCACTTTGTGAGGCTGAAGTGGCCACATCACAAGGTCAGGAGTTCCAGACCAGCCTAGCCAACATGGTGAAACCCTGCCTCTAATAAAAATACAAAAATTAGCCAGGTGTGGTGGTGCATGCCTGTAATCCCAGCTATTCAGGAGGCTAAGGCAGAAGAATTACTTGAACCTGGGAGGCGGAAGTTGCAGTGAGCTGAGATCATGCCACTGCACTACAACTTGGGTGACAGAGCAAGATTGTGTCTTGGGAAAAAAATTCTAGGACACCTAGGAATTACCCTTTTTGACATTGACCTTGGCAAAAAATTTAAGGCTAAGTCTTCAAAAGCAATTACAAAAAAACAAACCAGAAAAAAAAAAACCTTGACAAGTGGAACTTAATTAAAGCATTTCTGTACAGCAATAGAAACTAACAAGAGTAAACAGACAACCTACAGAATGGGAAAAAATATTCTCAAACTATGCATCTCACAAAAACCTAATATCCAGAATCTATATGAGAATTAAACAAATCAATGAGCAAAGGACAAATTATTACAAGGCAGGCAAAGGACATGAATAGACAATTCTCCAAACAAGATATATACAAGCAGCCCACAAGTGATGAGAATATAAAAAAATGCTCATCACTAATCAGAGAAATGTAAATCAAAACCACCATCTCACACTAGTCAGAATGGTTTTTGTTAAAAAGTCAGAAAATAGCAGATGGTGGGGCTGCAGAGAAAGGGGAACACTTACATACTGTGGGTGGGAATGTAAATTAGTTCAGCCACTGTGGAAAGCAGTCTGGAGATTTCTCAAAGAACTTAAAACAGAACTATCATTCAACCCAGCAATCCCATTACTAGGTATACACCCAGAGGAAAATAAATTGGTCTACCAAAAAGACACGTGCACTCTCCGGTTCATTAAGGCACTATTTACAACAGTAAAGATGTGGAATCAACACAAGTTTTCATCAATATTAGATTGGATAATACAATGTGGTACATATATGTCACAGAATACTACATAAACATAGAAACAGAATGAAATAATGTCTTTTACAGCAACATGAATGCAGCTGAAGGCCCTTATCATAAGCAAATTAATGCAGAAACAGAAAACCAAATACCGCCATGTTGTCACATATAAGTGGAGGCTAAACCTTGGGTACACATGGACATAATGACAGGAACAACAGACACAGGAATACAAGAGGGGAGAGGGAGGATGGAGCAAGTGTTAAAAAGCTACCTATAGGGCACTATGCTCACTTTCTGAGTGATGGGTTCAATAGTACTTCAAACCTTGCCATCATTCAATATACTCCAGGTAAAAAATGTGCACATGTGTCCCCAGAATCTAAAATGAAAGTTGAAAATAAATTACAGAAACACTAGATTAAACCATTAAAGATTAACTCCATGAGTGCTACTACTTTAAGAGAAAAAACATTCAATCAAGCATAACATTACTCAAATGTAAACAAGTGAAGAATAATGTATCTTTATAAAGACTGTTTAGCCCTGTGATTATCTGAAATTCAGACTCAATGGGGCATCCTATGATTTGCCCACAGAATATTTGGTCCCCACAATCTACATCAGCGACTCTCAACCCTGACTGCATATGTAATTCACCTAAGCATTTTTGAATGAAACTCGTGTCCAGGCTCCACTCAAGACAAATTAAAACAATCTGTGGCAATGAAGTGCAGGAAAGGATATTTTATTCAAAGTTCCCAGGTAATTCTATTGTGTGGCCAGAGTTGAATACTACTGGTCTACACATGTCGTATGTGACCATCCTGCTTCCTGTCATCCCTTCTACTGTTAACTTCCTTCACTATTTTCTCTTGTTTACCTCTAAGTATCTTTGTTCTATTTTTCTCTGTCTATAGTTTTACAAGTCTTTCTACCTTCCTAAATTCTTGGTTACTTTCTGACTTATTGAATACCCAGAGCCCAAATAGTTGGTTTCGATGAAGACTGTAATCCTAATTCTTAAAGAAGCAAGAAAGTTTGCATGTGGTACTTGTGTGTGTGTATTATTATGTGTAGAATGAGTCAAACTTGGAGTAATGACCAAGTTCACATGCTGTTTGATAGAGGGTCATTGCAGCATCTTTGGGCAAAACCACAGCATACTTTGAGTTGTACTAACAGCATAGAAAGCTTAATGCCCACACTCATGTCAGAAAGCAACAACTCATTAAAATTGGGTTTAGAGCTCCATTTGAAACTATAATTTATGCTAACTATAGTTTCCATCTTCTTGGTCTATCAATTATCCTATCTAATAAAAAGAGATTATCTGTTTGAATTGATAATTGGTTTATCAATTATCCTATCTAATAATAAGAGATTATCTGTTTGAATTTTCTATGTATTTCACATGTATTCCATATTTTCACCTGACAGTTATCAATGCATAAGAATATAAAAAGATTATCATTCACAATAGGATTGTAGATAGGAGCGTAATTTAAATGAATATACTAATTATTCTTTTCTAATTATGGCAATTAGCTGCTGATGATCTTTAAAAGCCATTATATAGTCTTCACTGTGTTTCTCTACTTAACCAACCACCCTTGCATTTATCCAAGAAAACTCCAGAACTGAGAATTAATGGTACATAAATTGGAGCCCTGCCTCTGTGCATAAAAAAGAAAGTCTTTCCTTAACTATTAATGCTGTTGGTACTCCAAGCACAGCACAGGCCCTGGAAATGAAATAAGGTTTCAACAAATGACATAGTCATATAACAAATTGATCTGTGTTATGTGAAAAGACTTTTGTGTATCACAGAAATTTATTTTGGTTCCTGAGTTTATTTATGTAATATTCAGTTTATTTAAGTGAATTATAAAATTTGGCAACATCTAGATCTTTTTATGTTGCTAGATTGCATTCTAAATTTTTTAAATAAATCTTTATTGAATACATTCAACTTCAAATATTTGATTTTTTTATTTCAGATAAAATCTTACTTCTACCTATAGTTTAGACAGTTTAGAAATTAATATTCTATTTAATTTTTTAAATCTTCTTAATATGATAGTGTTTATGATACACATAAACTAGTAAAAATGAACATACAATATTTCTTATTTAGGCAGAAGAAGAAGGATGGGGTATTTTCAGACATAAAAACTTCATTTCTCTAAATTATGACACCTGTACTTTAAGCGCCTCTGTAAAGCAGACCGTCTTCTGGGGGAGATAGTTCATAGGAGGGAAAGAGGATCTATCAGAAAAGCTGTTTACAATAAAACATTTTGACAGCTCGAGTAATTAAACAGCTTTCCCAGGTGCAAAGCAGTATCTTAAATGTCCCTCTGGCTATAATAGAACACAGATTTATCCTTCAGAAAAAAAAAAAAAAAAGTCTACTGTGAAAAGAAGTTAATAAAAGGAAAGGACACCTAGATAAAATAATTTTCTAAAAATATTAGTAAGTTGGTTAAGACATGTAAAAAGAATAAATCAGTTTTTGCTTACATTAACACTGAAAAATGTTCTTTTTAAAAAATGTTTTGGGAGGAAAAACGAGATGTCAATTTAAGTCATAGATTTCTTGCTAAGCAAGTATATACTTGCCTACTTAAAACCATGAATTAGTAGAAGTGACACAAAAGTATTCAGACCTGCCTATTCTCTAGCGTCTGATTGTAAGTGTTTTTTAAAAATAATTTGTCAAACCATTTGCCTCTTCTGTGTAGATGAATTTAGTATCCTGACCTCGGCACCTACACTAAAGGTAAGAACTTCAAAAGGAAGTGGAGTAAAATTCAATGACATATAGACAATTGAATTGATTGGTTAGAATTCTATTCTTTTAGTCAAATGCCATTGTATAGTTTATCTAGTAAAGGATTTATTGTTCATTGTGCAACAAGAATTTAATAACTGTTTAATGAATAAACAAACAGCAAAAAGATGTTAGGGATTCACAAGGAATTATGTTTTTCTTTGTATTCTCATGTTTCACTCTTCTATTAAGGAGGATCTGTAAAAATAATCTCTTTATTTAGGCATGTCATGTTGGAGAAATGTGCTTTTGTGTTTTTAACATCTATTGAGCATGACAAGAGTTATGCCTTAAATAAATATTTATTCAGTGCCTATAGTGTATGCATTTCATTAGCATGTGTGGCAATCTCTTCAACCATTGTGTTTGCTGCATGCACAGAAGGAGGAAAAAAGCTAGAAGAGTCTGGCTTATTCTATTTTATTTCACTATTCAGCACGGCTAACACTTATTGAGCACATAGGAAGCAAGGCATTGTCATATATATTTTTAAAACATTGACTTATTTAATCTTCCAAATAACACTGTAAGAGAGTTTGTATTTTTATCTCCTTTTTATGAGAAAACTGTGAAACATAGAGATAAAGCAAATTGCCCAAGATTACCTAATAATTGGAACTGGGATTTGTAACCAAACATCCTAACTCAAGACAAGGATTTTTACCACCACAAGACAGTGCTGCATGATTCATTTAATGGTAGTAATGGCACAGAAAATGGAGATTAGCTTGCACCATAATCGTGATAGTTTACAGAAAAAGAGCCAAGGAGTCATAAAAGAGGAAAGAAAAGTTTGAGAGCCCAATTAAACTCCAAAACCCTGGTGCCTGATGCTTGCAAAGTCCCATAATAACTGCTACAGAAAATGCCCTACTAAGGATTTTGAAATAGCGAATGATTGACCTGATTATTTTTTTAACTTTTATTTTACGTTAAATGGGTACATGTGCAGGTTTGGTACCTGGATAATACTGCATAATGCTGAGGTTTGGGTATGAGTGATCCCTTTACCCAGGTACTGCGAATAGTATACAACAGTTAGTTTTTCATCCCTGCTGTCTCTCCTCCCTCCTAGCTCCAGAGTCCCCAGTGTCTATTATTCCTGTCTTTATTACATGTGCACCCAAGATTTAGTTCCCATTTATAAGTGAGAACATGATGATATTTGGTTTTCTTTTTCTGTGTTGATTCACTTAGGATAATGGCCTCTAGCTGCATCCATGTTGCTGCAAAAAATATGATTTCCTTTTTATGGCTGTATAGTATTCCATGGTATATATTTACCACATTTTCTTTATTCAGTCTATCACTGATTGGCACCTGTGTTGATTCTGCATATTCAGTATTGCAAATAGTCCTGGAATGAACATGAAAGTGCATTTGTCTTTTTGGTAGAAGGATTTGTTTTCTTTGCGATATATACCTGGTAGAGGGATTGCTGAGTCAAATGGTAGTTCTAAGTGCCTTCAAAAATCACCAAACTTCTTTCCACAGTGACTAAACTAATTTGCATGCTCACCAACAGTATATAAGCATTCCTTTTTCTCCACACCCTCACCAACATCTGTTGTCTCTGACTTTTTAATAATAGCCATTTTGTCTTGTGTCAGATGATATCTTATTGTAGTTTTGATTTGCATTTTTCTTATGATTAGTGATGTGGAGCCGTTTTTCATGTGTTTGTTGGCTGCTTATATGTCTTTTGTTTGAGAAGTGTCTATTCATGTCCTTTGCCCATCTTCTAATGGAGTTGTTTTTTGCTTATTGATTTGTTTAATTTCCTTATAGATTCTGGATATTAGGCCTTTGTTGGATGTATACTTTAAGAATATTTTCTTCCATTCTAGGTTGTCTGTTTACTCCATTGATAGTTTTCATTGCTGTACAGAATCTCTTTCATCTAATTAGGTCCCACTTGTCAAATTTTGTTTTTGTTGGAATTAATTTTGAGGACTTACCCTTAAATTCTTTGACAAGGCTGATGTGAAGAATGATGTTTCCTAGGTTTTCTAGGAATTTATAGTTTGAGGACTTACATTTAAATCTTTAATCCATCTTGGGTTAATTTTTGTATATGCTAAAAGGTAGGGGTCCACTGTCATTCTTCTGCATATGGCTCGCCAGCTATCCCAGCACCATTTATGAGACAGAAAGTCCTTTCCACATTGCTTATTTTTGTTGACTTTTTAGAAGACCAGATGGTTGTAGGGGTGCAGCTTTATTTCTGGGTTTTTTATTCTGTTCCATTGGTGTGTGTGTCTCTTTTTGAACCAGTAATGTGCCATTTTGGTTACCGTAACCTTAAAGTGCAAATAAGTATTTGTCAGTGGATGGTGGCAGTTTCTGTTGCTGCCAGAACAAACTGCATAACAGGAAATCACCTGGGTTGTTCAGATAATGCAAATCTGAACTAAATGAGAGATGAGAAGGGAGAAAACACAAAGGCACTACAATGGTCTGGTAAGACTTCTGAACTATATTCTAGCCAAACAAGAAATGAGAGGATAGCTGCCAAGGATGTGAGATAGAAAAGCCCAACAAATATAGCTAATATTATCACTGACTATAGTTGCTGTTTTTGCCTTATTTTTAATGGCAAAAAATGCAGTTGTTTTTGCAGCAACCTAAATAGTTACTGTGCTTGACTCTAAACACTTGGGGGTAATGGAAGGAATTATAAAGGCAGTAGCAACTAATGGTAGTAAAAAGGTCAGCATAAAATTTCCAAAAAGAATCAAAGAAGAAATAGATTTGTACATTTTTAAAACTTCAATCAGCAAATATTTGCTGAACACCTACTATGTGCCATGCACTGTTATCCGTGCATTACATGAATTAACCATTTAAATCCTCTCAAGAGCCTTGTGAGATGAGCATTATTTCCATTTTACATATAGGGAAACTGAGGCACAGAATTCACACTGCTACAAATTGACAAGAGCAGTATTTGATCCTAGGGAGCCACCCCAGGCCTTCATGTTTAA